GGTTCCTGATAGATTATGATTAGACTACTCCGTATTATACTCATGTTTATCTCCAAGGTTCCTACCTATGGGAAATAGAATGTACGAAAAGTACTTGACAGTTCCAGATATCAGTAGTCGCCGTCACGGGTCGGGCCGTTGGAGTAAACCTTGGACCTTGGATTTCACATTTGAGTATAGACCTCGGGAGCTACCTAGGCACCTAGGCAGGTACGGCAAGCATCACTCTTTCAAAGGAGACAGATATTCTTACATTATTCCACTGAACAACTGAGTACACCACGATACCAGCACGATACCAGCACGCCTTATGTTGTGTACAAGACAAGGGGCTTAATTGGTGCCATGCGTAGCCCAAAGAAAAACACTCGATATCGCCCAAAATGTCGACATCAATGATACAAGACATTGATTGTCCCAGGGTCATTCTATCATATGGAAACGTGAAGTTGATACGTCAGATAATATGTTTAGTCAGCTACGATATGTCCAACGTGAGCCCTGGAGCTGCATTTTGATTATGAGACATCATATTATTGCATTTCATTTCATTTGATTTGATTTCAGTCTATTTTCATCTCAGTGTACGGATTATTTCCATTCCAGTTTACTTTCATTTCATTTCATTTCATTTGAGTTTATTTTTATTATGTTTATTTCACCTTTTGGAAGTTATTTTCCAGGATTCTGTCCAGGCATGCAGGACCTGTTACCTTCCAAGGAAGATACATGAATGTTGTCATACAGAAGATCAACCCCTGGAGGCTGCTTCGTGGCCCTGTGGAATGCATGTACCCTGTAGATCAACATCTGATGAATCTGGCCCAACCTGAAGCTAAGGCTTGCTCCCAAAGCTTTGCAGGGTCAAACACCTAACCATTTATTCTATCCGGATGAAATACCCCCAAGTCATTTTATCAGCTTCCCCGCGATTTAATCCTGTTACCCACACAAGCTAGATTATTTCTCGCCCAGCTTTCACTATGGAAGTCGATAGAATCCATACACCAGCCCGGAATATCCTCGATCGGAGCGAACAGTTTTGGCGACGTGAATTCAAGGACTTTTCTGCAACGATATTCCCTATTGTCTCTTCGCGATACGAGCAATCGGCTCTCAAAATGCTCACGGAAAATATTGATCTGGCATGTGGCGAGCTTGATCCTGTCTCGGCTGGGGCGGCGTTGGCCTTAGCATGGGGCCTGGTTCTCTCTCGGTACACCGGGAACGATGATGTTGTTTTCGGTCTCGGACTTGAATCAGAAAGCAATGATTTTTCCAACACTCCGGTATTGCCTTTGCGGCTGTTGGTGGATCCTCAGCAATTAGCGGTGGACGCGCTTAACAACACCGAAGCCAAGATCATGGACCGATCTACATTCGGTGTAGCCTCAACCCTTGAATTATCGAACTTCGGTGGAGACATAGCAGCAGGGTGTCAATTCATGAACATACTCAACGTCAGACAGGGACAACCAAAGAATCCTGGTGCCTTCCGAAGCATCGAAGCCCCCAAAGTGCCTCTTGTGATTAATTGTGAGATCCGAACAAACGGTGTAGATGTGGAGGCCCTGCTGGATCCTTCCGCAATCTGTGTTGAAACCACACGCATGATGTTGCACCAGCTAGGTCATTCTTTCCGGACCGCTCTTACTCGTTGCTCTCGGCATACTCTTGTTGGCGATCTCCGGTCTGTCAGTCCCCAGGGCTTGGCTGACCTGATGGAGAGGGGAGTCCAGCCACCTCCCACATTGGTCCATACCCGTGTGCATGATCTCATCGTTGCACAATGCCAATCTCGCCCATCGGAACCAGCTGTCGCTGCTTGGGATGGCCATTTGACCTACCATGACCTTGACCGGTTCTCTTCCAATCTTGCAACACAGATCACAAAGCTTAATGTGGTACAGCCTGACAAAATAGTCCCTGTTTTGATGGAGAGATCTGTGTGGATTTCAGTAGCCATCCTCGGCATCTTGAAGGCAGGGGGCGCGTTTCTTCTGATGGACATCTCGTTCGCGGACGAGTATGTGAAACAAACATGCGCAAAGATCGAAGCCCCGCTTGTTTTGACATCGGGCCTTGAAAGTGATCGCGCGAGATCACTGGGTTTGCCTGTTCTAGTGGTCGGAGGCGCACAGTTGGATGACGATGAGGGAAAAGATACAGATTTTCAGTTCGCTAACATACAACCATCGAATGCATGCCATGGCCTTTTTACCTCCGGGTCCAGCGGGGATCCTAGACTCGTTGTCATAGACCATGCAGCGGTATGCACTGCCTGGACGCAACCTACGGCAACTCAACTCATGCTTTCATCATCATCTCGAGTCTTGCAATTTGGCTCCCATGCATTTGGCGCTTGTGTTGCTGAGTACCTTGGGACCATGATCCATGGAGCTTGTTTATGTATAGCTCCAGAGTTGGGTCCAGGGAACGATACAGCGGAACCCATTCAGAGGCTGAACGCCAATTTCATCACTCTGACCCCTTCTGCATCCCGTCTCCTGGATCCCAGCCAGGTCCCCTCACTCCAAGTTGTGGTTCTAGCTGGAGAGGCGCTGAGTCCTCTCGATCTGGAGAAGTGGCAAGGACGAGTGCAATTGAAATGCATGTATGGATTAGCGGAGACTGCAGCATTCTCCTTGCTTGCCGATTTGACTAAACCAGACTCAAACTACCGGGAGATTGGAGTGCCGACTCATACATGGAAGTGCTGGATTGTAGACACCAACAATGTCGAAGATCTGGTACCACCTGGCGGAGTAGGTGAACTGCTGCTAGAAGGTCCCAGTCTAGGACGTGGTTATTTCAATGATCCAGCTCGCACGGCCCAAAATTACATTCCGGCCCCTTTATGGCTTATGCAGATTCGACCCATGGCACCACATGGTTATCGCTGCTTGAAAACAGGGGACCTTGTTCGTTACTCTCCCAACGGGACACTTGAGTACATCCGCCGAAAGGATGTAACTGAAGTAAAGATCCGAGGGCAGCGCATGGACCTTACGGACGTTGAAAGACATCTCGCACGACAGTATCCCACGGCGACTCGGGTGGTTGTGGATGTTATCATTCCATCAGATGACATCGGCCATAACGGCGCTATGTTGGTCGGCTTCATCTATACGGAGTCCCCGCAGCGCAATATGCAAAACGAAAATGAAGAAATATTTGCTTCCTCGACAATCGAGAGTCGAGAAAAGGCAACCAATGTTCTTTCTGTCCTTAAAGAAGTGCTTCCTACATTCATGGTTCCAGATATCATTGTGAATGTCAATCGAATTCCAACGACAACTTCGGGCAAACTTCACCGAGACCGACTACGCCGTCTAGCCTCAGGATTGTCCCGCAGAGCTTTGCTGGAGTATGGGAATGTCGAGTTACCAGGGGCTACCGAGCACTCTGAGAGGCTCGTACAATAGATCATTCGTGGAGCCTGTGTGTAGGCACTGTTGGATGTGGGGCTGCCGATAGACTTTCAGCGCTAGACAGTGATCCTCTGGCCGCCCACCAAATGGGTTGAGTCAATTCACATTGCATTATATGTAGATATAGACTCGTATCTCCCTTAGAGAGTGAATATTATTTACTTGACCGTCTGAGTTGCACCGTCGAGCATGGCTAAAGTTCCTCACAAATACTAAAGGACGTTTGTTTTGGTTAAAAGATAAAAAACCCCGGGGCGGAAACTACGACGGGAGATCCCGAGATGCCGAACTTTGTTATTAACCTTGGGATCACCCCGGGCCCGTGGACCCTGGGACAGTTTCCAAGATCAGACCTACTTATATATGTCCACCACCTTTCTATTGCATGTCTTTACATCTCTATGAAACAGTTGGAAACAGCATGGGGCTTGTACTAAACCCAGGAGTGTAATTTGGCAGACCCATGTACTTTGTAAGTTATTGCCCAATTATGGGTGTATTGGAGATCCTTGCGCGTGCAGGTAGAATGGTATGTACTAACGAGGATGACTATAGTGTTGCTATTGTTGTATATGCATGAGATTTACCAAGTATATTACTACTACAGCCAAATTGATGTAACCTTATGAAAATGCATCATAAAATACAAACTCGCGCCATGGTACTTTTCCGTGATTGGATGATATTAGCTAGATACCATACATTCCATTCCCAGTTATGAAGAGACTTTCCATGATCCTTTCCAGGTGCTTTGTATGGAGTAGAGAGGAAGAAGGTAGGCATTCTGTGGCACTTGCACGGTCTTAACTGAACTGCTATTGACATTTCTTTGTGGTAGTAGCCGTGATAGTAACCAAAACAACCCTGCTTCAAATAAGACACATTACAAGTAGCCACGTGTCGGCGCTCGGCATGCATGCCTAATAAGGTTTCCAGTCAGCCATGTTCAAAGTCGCAACCACGCTGAGATGTTATGAACCATATGTACGTATGTTGCATAAGAACTTGCTGCAAGGAGTTTGAAAAAGATTTGTCCACTGTAACACCAGATATCAAAATAAGGTCACTCATCCTCCTTGGGAATGCTACCTCCATGGAGAGCTGGAACAGTCCTTGTGTGATTTTTTCCCCATTCCTCAGCTCAACTAAAAGACGCCACATGTGAGCACCCTGCATGAATATCCATTATCTCCCTCTTAACAAAAAAAATGCCCAGCAATTTTAGCAGACATTTTGTTGTCAAGTGACACGGGAAAGCAGATTTTATTGCTCGAACCACGTTTCCTCCCTGTTCTCCCCGAGGTAGCGGAATGAAATCATCCTGATAGCCATGAGGTTGTCTGTCTTGAAAACGCGCAGCTTGAGCTGGGACTTCACGGCAAACGCACTAGGAAATTGCTGTTTCGTCAAAGCTGCCTGATAACTGGTCCTTCGCAAGTTCTATGAGGTTGACCTAGTGAGCTTCGGGGTTAGTATTACCACGAAATCCCTGAAGAACAACTCCACATCCACGACGTATCACGTTGGGCAGCAATTCAAAACGATTTAGAGACGATTATGGCTGAAACAATGGTCCTTAAAGGCGAAGATCAACAGAGTCTGGTGGCCTTTATCCTGCTGCGATCTCGAGCAGATTCGCAACTGCCAGTTGTCTCTTTCCTGATTCCATCATCTGATATCTTCCGCATCAAGGTTCAGGCAGCCAGCACTTCGTTTTCGACTACCTTAACCATGCTGCCTGACTTTTATGTGTCGCTCCACCAGGTGCCACTGACCATCAGCCACAAAACAAGCCGCAAATACCTACCTCAATTGGATAGCGAGAAGAATAGGCAGAGTTTCAATGATTTCATGTGTTATCGGAGGAAGCGTCTGACTCTGGTGACCCAGACCAAACGTGTTTTGCGCGGTGTCTTTGCAGGACCATGACCCAACCACAATCGGGATCGACGATACCTTCTTGTGACTTCCCACTTCCAGGTAGATAGCTTACATATATAGCGTGCAACTCTGGGCTGATAATTGAAGAATCACATACTATTTGTTGAGATGATCCCATCTCTCGTTGTTTGCTTGCAGACTGAGCGCTTGTTTGTCAGATTCAGGATATGAATACCCTGCTATTCCTAGATTGAATTCAAGGGATTCTTGTTCTTATCCCTCTTCCCCCAGTGGCCAATAGCTGCGACACTATTTCTTGTATATAATACCTTCGAATTGTATTTAAACCTGACAATTTCCTCCAGGGCTGGTTATGGACATGCTGACTAATATATACATACTCCATCCCGAGGTCCATAGATATTATCACGGCTCGGGAAAAGTTAATCCCGTGCCCGCACTTCTTGCCTGATAAATACGGCATCAATCAGCTACAGGCCCACTTTTCTTCCGACGCATCTCCACCGCCTTTGCAACCGCCTGCCATTTCCATCGAGCTATGACCCAGCTCTCTCGAATTTGATCATATCTAACCTACTACATCCAAGGCTACTTGCTCAATTATTTACTGCCAAGTACCCTGTTATATCTACTTCTGATGTTCGCAACAAGAATCTTTGGCCGACAGGCCCAGATTATTCCCAAATGGACTCGATTCCGTTGTGTATCAACATTGGAAGGGTCTCCGCACATCGTATGCGACTGTTGCACCTTACAGCGTCCTCATTGAAGCTAAATTCTTAATAGTATGTGTTCCCAAATGATGGGCCAGCCAGTGGAACCCACGTCTTGTCACTATTACCCTCCGAGCCAGTCAACCCCGACCTGGCTATCGGACTCGCGACTCAACTGCCACCAACAACAGACACCTTCAAAGAGAACCCAAAATTCCTGGATATAGTGCAAGAAGTGTGCTCAAAATATGCCCATGAAGATCCCGATGCAAAGTCTCAAGCGCAGGTCATGGTGTCCGTGGCTGGAGCGAATCTGAACTCAGGCGGCGTGTTATTAACCGGTCAGCGCGGAAGACGTCGTGGAGCCGACTCGGCCAGTGGCGCTAGTGGTCAAGGTGGTGCAGGCTCGGGTGGACGTGGTGGTTGGATTCATATCTCTGATGGCAGACGGCCGCCTGACTATGGGCGGATTGCTTGGTAAGGGCTTATCTGTGTCTCACAGGCACATCTTATTTCAAACGAAAGTTATACTAATACCATTCAGGCCTGAGGATATGTTCGGAAGCCTTGAGGTGGATGCCAATGGTCAGTTCGTTGGAGACAATGGCAATTATCAGCCAAGTGGTATGTTTTCCAACTATATGAGACCCAACAGGCCAAGCTGATACTTAGCAGGTACCTATCGTATCCTGACCCGGGATGGAATGTAAGTATTCCCTTTCTTTGGTGCTCTGTCACACTGGCATTTAATGTTGACCCATTCGTATAGTTTCGGATTGAGTCCTTTCCTCAGAGAGAAGTTGGTTCAGAAGCTACGAGAGCTTGAGAAGTGATATAATCCAAAATGGGGCACATCGCCCACAGAATCCTAATGTAAAATATGTATCAACACCCAGCAGTCCACTCAAAGCTCAAAATTCTTTTTCTAATTCGGACCTGTTTCCTCTTAATCTTTTTTGCCCGGTCCTCCTTTAACCACAATCTTTTTGCTCTTGGGCTGTTCTCAACTAAACATACCTTGTAGGTCAATTTGATCTCCTGCTTCTCACTTAGTTCATTAAATAAGAGGTGTCGCTTACTAATGGTCATACGTATTCTCATCACTATTTTGGAGAATAAATATATATATATATATATCGGTCAAAAGTATAGCCGACCAAATAGAAAGAGTAAATTTCATTTGCTTCATTGCATGTATCATCACTTTTTGAAGAAACTAGTAATTCGTTGGGATCCATCTGCTGCCTTTGTCCCACTGGATTTCTTCATAGGGCTATTATGGGTAGCACTACGCAACTTCTTCTTTTGCGGCGATATCCCCGTTAGATCTGAATTGATCTTTTGCTTCTTGCTTTCCTCTACAGGTTTAGCAGTTTCTGGACTATGCTCCCTCTTAACAGCTGGCACCGGTTTGGGGGCATTGTCCTCGCTCCATTCCGAATCCTTAGTAGGGCGGCCGTCGTCTTTAACCATCTTCACTTTCGGCGACACAGCCTCCTTCTTTGGCGAGAGCTCTAAATTCTCCTTTGTTTTCGTATTGGCGAAGAAGTTTGCGATGTTGCTCTTGTTTTCCTTGCTGTTGACAGGAACAATAAAGTTCGGGGAATTATTTCCGACTTTCCCGACCTCCTTGGGAACAGGATAGCACTCCAGTTCGCCCTCATATGGCTTGAGAAGTGACTGGAGCTCCTTCGACCAGGTCTTTTGGCTGGGATCCAGCCATTTCTTCATCGCCTCACTCCCAGAGTCCAGTATGACAGGCATACGTTCATGCAGGAATTTCAGGTAGGAATTAGAAGACGTCGTGATCACCGTGTACGTGTAGAGCTTTTCGTCGGAACCTGTACAAAGTAATCGTCAGCCTCATCAATGCCTTATATCAGAAAAGCCTAGACATGCCCTCATAGGAAACACAGTCCCACAACCCAGCGAAGCACATCAGCTCCCCGTCTTTGCGACGGACAAAGTGCGGAACCTTTTCTTTACCCCCGGGCCCCTTCTTCAGCCACTCGTAAAAGCCCTGACAGATAACAATGCACCTCTTTCGGCGCTTCATGGTAGTCCACATCCCCGAATCTTCAATCAACGAGTCATCGCGACAGTTAATTGTGCGCATCATGGATCCGTAATCCGGCTGGCGCTTTGTCCAGAATGGGATGAGACCCCATTTCATACTCTGGAGCTTGTATTTGGTAACTGTGTTGTCTTTTCCCTTTTCTGAATCTTGGTGTTGGTGCTCACTATCAGCATCTTGCTGAGCATTGTAGCTCTCTTTTTCAGTGATCTCGGCGCGATAGACAGCACCGAAGTTGCCCGGCGCAAAGTTGAATGTCTCTCTGACTTCATCGTCGTCTGGTGCTTCATACACTTGCATACCTTGCTCTTGTATGCGTTGTCGGATGTACGCCAAGCGCTTGGGATCATCAGCCGGCGGACAGTCTAGACACAGGAGCCGTGACATACCACGCCCAAAGCGTATCGTCCACACATTATCAGTGCAAACCACTATATCAACTCAATAGTCAGGTCTCCACAATCAATGCTGGATCAAACCAGTACATTTTCCTGATAGAATGAGTGAGAAAGTGAGTGCATACTCCAGCGGGCGACGTCATATGGCGGAGCGGAGCTTGGACCACCTAAAAACCGAGGGCGGGCTCCTCATCAACTCACCATATACTCTCTCTCCCTTCCCCTCCCCATTATCTACGTCAATTCCCCAGGTTGTTTCAGACAATCACTCGCTCAATCTAAATTAAAACTTCAAATCTTCATCAAATACTCACCCACACACTCCCAATGTTCCGCGCAGCATCACGGCGCACGAGCGTGCATGCCGCAAAACTTCTACAACAGCAACCAAAGAGTCTCGCCCGCTCAATATACATCAACAGTACCGCCCGACCAACACTCCAACCCCGAATCAACAATGGCAAACCACTCGCAAGCCCTTACATCTCCGGTACGCGGCACCTCACGATCATGCAGAAAATCGGCCGCAAATACCGCGAAGCATCTAAAGGAATCTGGCGCAAGAACCCGGTTCTCATGCCTCTAGCAATCTTCTCCGTTGTCGGCGGAGCCTTCATTTTCGCCTACATCTCCTACGTGGAATTGACACGGGTCGGGCCACAGTACCACAAATTCCCACCACCGGTGGCCGACGCTCTCCGCACGGCTGTCTATTACACCGAGATCGATCTCAACCCAGCCAAGGCGATGAAGGCATACAGAGAGGCGCTGCATATAGCACTTGAGATGGGCATACACCCATACTCGGATGAGATACTTGGAATCAAGCTGCAGGTTGCTATGATGCTAGAGAAGGCTGGACTTGTGAAGCCGGCGATTGATGTGTTGGAGCGAACAAAGAACGAGACTCTGGCCTGGGTGGATGAAGTCACAGCAGGGAACGCTGCTGCAGCGGCTGAGAAGGTGAAGCAAGCGCAGGCGCAGGTGCAGAAGACCCCGGCCAATGTCCAGGTTGACACCGAGGCGATTAAAGAAACCGAGGAGGACCTGAAAGCAATGGCGCAGTACGAGGCTCGTCAGCGAGATAAAGCGCTCAAGAAGGTCGTCGGCATTGCGATGAAGCTTGGCGAACTCTACTCCAGTGAGTATATACAGGACGAGAAGAAAGCCGAGGTCGCGCAGGTCGCTGCTGTGGAGATCTGTCTGAAGGAAATGCACCGTCGTCAGAAGCTGGGGCTTCCTGTTGGTAGCTCTAGCAGTGGCGAGGGTTCAGACGGCGAGGCATGGCTGAACCTCACTGAAATCGCGACTGCGTTGGCTGAGCTTGCCGCTACATATACCGCCAAGGAGCGGTATGAGCTGGCCATGCCACTGTATATGCGTGCGTTGGATTTGATCCGCGCCGCTGAAGGAACCTCCATATCTTGCAAACAGGTGGTGCTACTGAACGATGTCGCTACCGCTCTGGTTGGCCAGGTTCAACTGCCCGCCAAGTCTCAACCGCAACAACCTGTTACAGCGGAGCAGACTGTTGAGGCTGCCCAGAAGTGGGCGGAGAAGGCGATTGAGGTTGCGGCGCACATTGAACCCCCGATACGTGACGAGGAGTGTGACATTACTTGTGTGGTTGCAACATATAACCTGGGCGAGCTGGCTGAGCTACAAAAGAAGCCGGCCGTTGCTAAGCAGCGGTATACCGAGGCTAAGGCATTGGCTGATGGGATTGGATACGAGGAAGGCAGTATGATGGCCAAGGAGGCCTTGAAGAGGCTTGGAAAGAATTAAAGGGTAGATCTGTGAGGGCTTGTTCTCTGTTCAGCCTGATGTACATTATGTATGACCAACGTTGGAAATAGAAATCTCAACACATTCCTGTATATCATTTGGCACTGCTCGAAGAGGTACATCCGGCGGCTACTATAGTTACTATAGCATTGTCCCGCAAGGGTTACACGAGGGAGGTTGAATGAAGACAAATATATAACATGAAAGACATACGGGTACGACGATTTTACAAGAGATTTTCAATAAGAAAAATAGGAAACATTTTGATGCCTTAACTGGTATTAGAACATCACACGTCTTGTACAAGATTCCATACAGTTTCCATGCGGATCAAGTAGGCTAAGACATGTCAGAAAACCTCCAAGCCGGGGACGACTTGGTCCCGGCGAGAAGTGCTTCATTGCTCGTGGCTCATACATCCCAAACCAATGCTCTTCCGGCCATATCTTTTGAACTTTTTTTCAATTCCCTTGTCAATAGATCAAAAAGAGGCTCCTCAAGCTCCGATACAACAACTCAAATCTATGCGCGCGACATAACACCCCAGGCACGGATCTTGTTGTCGGTGTAACCGGCGAACAGGGTCTGGCCGTCAGCGGACCAGGCCAAGCTGATGCACTCGGGGTCACGGCTCTTCTTGCCCTTCTCAACGAACTCAGGCTTGAGCTCATCAACCTTGCTCTTCTTCTCGAGGTCGAAGATGGTGATGGAGCTGCTGGTGGCAGCGCACAGCCAGTAGCGGTTGGGGGAGAAGACGAGAGCGTGGATCTCATCGCCAGCGGAGAGGGAGTAGAGGTGCTTGGACTCGTTAAGGTCCCAGAGCATGGTGGTACCGTCCTTGCCACCGGAGGCGCAGAGGGATCCGTCGGGGGAGATGGTGACGGTGTTGATGTATCCGGTGTGACCGATGTGGTCGGTCTGGAGACGGCAGGAAGCGAGCTCCCAAACCTAGACGCGTATCAAATGTTAGCGTCGATACCCTCATAAAGAATGTCAAGTGTCAAGGAAAAATTTTTCCAATCCTTCTCTCGTTCAATAAAAAACCAAAAAATTGTTGCTGTGCCCATCAGGCAAAATGGGTGAAAAATTGTCTCATGGCCCCGAAGGGCTCTGAAGTAGCAAATACGTTTATGCAAACATCACGCGGGCAAAGCAAGGCGGGGAGGAAATTCTGCAGGGAAATTCGGGATCGATAGCGTACCTTGACGAGCTTGTCCCAGCCAGCGGAGACAATGACGGGGTTCTGGGGGTTGGGGCTGAAGCGAACGCAGGAAACCCACTCGGTGTGGCCCTTGTCGGTGATGGTGAACTTGCAGTCACCGAGGGTGTTCCACAGCTTGATGGAGCGGTCACGGGAACCGGAGACGATCTGACGGTTGTCGGCGGAGAACGAGACGGACAGAACATCGTTGGTGTGGCCGACGAAAGTGCGGGTGGTGTTACCGGTGGAGAGCTCCCAGAGACGGAGAGACTTATCCCACGAGGCGGACAGAGCGTAGGCACCATCGGAGGAGATCACCTATAACGCAGACAAGACCATCGGTCAGCCAAAACCATTCCATCTTTTCATATTTTTTTTTTTTTTTGCGAAATGCGCCATCCAAATCCATCTGTCGCATCCAATGGTTTGTGGGTGTGGTTCATTCGGGAGAAGAAAAACGTACACAGTCAGAGACGATGTGCGAGTGACCCTCGAGGCTGCGCTTGGGGTAACCGTAGGCCTGCTCATCACGGGTAAGGTTCCAGATGATCAGGGTCTTGTCGCGGGATGCGGACAGCAGCATGTTGGGGCTATCATCAAGAATTCAAGTCAGAATTTTGTCCCTTCAAAAATTCCATCTTCCGATCGGGATAGGTCGTTCTTACTTCTCCAGGGAGGTGGCAAGGGAAGTAACCCAGCCATTGTGGCCCTCAAGGGTGCCGCGAAGAACCAGCTGCTCAGCCATGATGGGAATGAGACAATGAAGGAGAGAGAGGGATGGGCGGAGATTGTCGTTGACTCTGGGGGGTGAGGTAAAATCGAGATGGGAGGCAGACGTGCCCGCTCAAGCCCTAAGCCGCTTCGCTGCTCTCCTTGTGTGGTTCCGTGGAGCCCTAATACTAAGCGAATAGGTCACATGACTTGCATCTATACAGAGCTCCCTCGACTACGATGTAGAGATTAAAGAATTGAATGTCAATTTGCGTTCATGTTCTCTCTGTTATATTCGAAATTAACAATTACTTTACTTTCTATCCAAATCTGTGAAATCTACACCCATTGAACCCAGTACTATCAAATATACAACATTCTTAATACACGCCTTCTACTATGGACAATATGGCCACTATGACGAACTATAGTACAGTTTTGAAATCGACAAGCTTCCCGAGTTCGATCTCTTCCAAAGGCTCTTACGAGTTAAACACCTGAACATCAGGCATTCTTCCCAAGCCACCACCGCCAGTCTTCTTATTCTTGGCCTTTTCAAAGCCAGTAGCACTTTTATCGCGAACATGCTCTCTGAGTAGCGTGAGAACCTCAGAGCCCTGCCAGCGCGATGGAACAGGCCGGTACGCCGCTCTGAAGGCGCCAATAGTCTGCGCCCATTCACCGCTCTTGGCACCGGTCTCCTTCCAGTTCTCGGTGATGGTATCCTCCTTGGGAGCGGAGGCTGAGATCTCCTCTGGCGGATCCTGCGTCGCCCAGTAGTAGATGTCCCAGTCGTTCTCGTCGAGGAAGCTGTCGTACTCCACGAGCTGGTCGTAGTCCATCTTGCCCAGGTAGACATCCGCGAAGGTCGAGAGGAGCAGGTCTGACTCCAGGATTCCGCGCTTGCGGCTCTGGTCTAGGGTGGGTTGGTTAGCTTGGATGGTTCTTGGTATATTGATTGATGCACCAGAGCCTCGGATTTAACACCGTGGCTTATGTGCAAGCATGCATGGGAACGGGTACGAACATAGCAGGCGTGCCCTCTTCGTGGCAAGCTCCTCCCCAACTCTCTTCAAAGGCTCAACCTTAAACGTAATACCCTCCATCTCACCAACGCCAAGCTCAGGCTTCTGCGCCCCATTATCCTGACGACCACCAGTGAAATGCTCAATCCTTCCGGGGTACGGATCAGATGGTCTGTAGTTGGGGTCGACGGAGTTCAACATCTCCGGTGGCGGCGGCTTCTGCCCAACACTGGGGAAGTCCTTTGTCATGGTGGAGGTTGTGTTTGGAATGAATTGGTTTGGAGCCTTGTTGGCCTGGTTTGCGCGGTGCGCCTTTACCTCCGGGGCAGCTTCGTCGCCATCTTTGAGGCGTAGAGCTGTCGCGCCGAATTGGCGGTTTAGTCTTGTGATTGTGCTTAGGGATGATGGCACTGGTCGCGCGAGGCGATGGAGTATACGTGGGGCGGACATCTTGCTGTGCAGTACCCTATAGAGAGAGAGTTGGGACTTTCTTTCCTCTAGGGATGAAGAGTTGGCGTTTGATGCTCGGCTTTGACATCATCCGGTGTAATAGCCCGGGGAACCGAAAAGCTCCTGTAATGCCCGGTGTTTGTTCTGTTTGCAACACTAAACATTCCACTGAGAGGCTGTGGATTACACACTTCTCAATACAGCGTAGTTCCATAGGTTCTATGTGTTTTTTGGGGCCTTTGGGGGCTGAAAATTGGCTCACTTTTGTTTGATGTCTTGGCCCGTCTGTTGTTAACTCAGAATCCCTCTGCAAGATGCCGACCTAGATCTTTACACTGACCCAAGATAAAACATGCAAAGCTTCCTCTAGGACTACCTACAAGGTGTTTACTATGTAGACAGTACTTTACCAGCATGGGTTGATATTATTCCATCCACGAATACTCGGGCAATACCTCATTGGTCGGAAAGAAGCCCTGTAAAGTATAGCTAACCAACCATCCTCAAGATATCACATGCGAGAAACGGAAAATATTATTAGCGCCAGGCTGCAGAAAGCATGGTGTACATTTTATATCATTGAGATCATGACTGTTGAACAGAATGCCACTCGACATTAGAGCAAAAGGATTTGCAATGCAACCGCTGCAAAACCAAAAAAGAACCATCAAAGATGCAACCATTCCATGGACTAGTAAATCTAAATAAGGTGCTTAGATCTGCAAGAATCGAATAGTCAGTAACCAACTCCAGCTTCCACCACAACCACAATTCGACATACCTGAAGTAAGCCCTCAGGTAAACAACCTGCCAAGCACCAAGCCCGATAAGCATACCCATGGTCCCGAAAGCGAACCACTTCACACGCTCATTGGTGCTCTCATTGGTATCACGCAAACGCTGTTCACGCGCACGCAGGTACTCCATCTCAGTAACGATATCGGCAACCATCTCTTCGATACGGCGGAGGTCTGTCTCAACGGGCTTGAGCTTCTCCTGCGACTGGATGCTGTTCCAGTCGCGGGCGTCGGCGCCAATGTCGACATCAAGCTCAACGGGGCGGGAGGGGTTCTGGATGGTATCTGATGTGGTATCGTTTTAGTATGACTTTCTCTCTTCAACTCCAGCTTTTTCCCCGGTGTATTGTTCGTGTTGTTCGAGGGGACTGCCACTTACTGTGGCCGACAAGTAGGTTCTCGAAGCAGACGTCGAAAGCCGTGTCCGCTGGGGAAGTGAAAATTTGACGCGTCTCGCCGACGACGTCCTTAGGACGACCGTGGTCATTGCCCATCGCATCCTTGATCTATACGGAGAAAAGAATTAGTCGTGGTTCACAATTCAACGGGTTGGCATCCAAGTCCCAGTGGACTCAGGACGAAATCCCATTCACACCCAGGAATATTCCCACATACATGAATATTGACCCTCTGGCCATCACCCTTCGTACCACCAACGATGGCAGTGACAACAACGAGCTGGTCCTTCGAGACGAAGTTGCGAATGCATCGCTCGTTCTTGCCGCCGCCGGAGGTGGCGACGAGATCGAATTTTAGAGCACTGGCAAGCTGAACGAAAACAAAGAGGAAGCCAAGGATGGCCCTCAGAGTGAGTGGTGAGGTGCCCATTGTTGCGGCGTTGAATTGGCGGTTGTAAACACGGATGCTTGCTGCTGTTGATGACACCTGGTAAGGGGAGTGCGGGATTAACTTTGTTCCGGTGTTATGGGCTAAGATCTATAATTCGACAGTTTATTGCTTCACACAGCAAATATTGCTAAGGTCTAATTGTTTAGTATTTATATAAGCAGGGTTTTTACTATGTATTGGATGCATTGGATGTATGGTGTTCACAGAGGAATGAAATGGGTTGTGAATGTCAGGGCATTTAAAATAGCCCAAGTATTGGCATGGTATCTCGAAATCCACGAAAGCAATCAAAGCTCAACAAAGAGACAAAATAGAAAACCCCGAAGTCCGTATTAATCGTTCAGTGCCACACAGAAAGGTAGACAGTAGAGTGGCGCATAAAAGCGCAAGAGAAAATAAGAAAAAGCCACCTGGTCGTAGCCATAGTAAACAATAAGGAAAAGAGGACATGACTCTATGTGAACAAAGTAAGGGAAAATAGTGATAAAGATGGCAGTGTGCTGTTGCACAAACAAGAAAAGCCAAAGCGATGGACATGATATGTAGATCGTTAGATGAATTGGAACGCTCAGCAAAGCAAGACATTAGTCGAGAATGTCGTCAGGATACTTTCAGCCCATTAGGCCTCGACCTTCTTTCGGCGCGTGAAGAAACGGGAGAAGCCACTGTCCTTCGACTTAGATCCTATTGATGCTGGTGAAGACCGCATAGGGGCCGGAGGAGGCCCCGTATTCCGGAGGAAATCCGCCAAATCACCGGTGTCGGTCTGGCGGTTTGAGATAGAAGGCATGGTGCCATTGTTGCGCTCCTGGCCAACCTTGGCAGAGTAGTTGGATTGGACCTTGGTGGGGGCGTTTTGTGTGCGCAAGGGATTTTGAGAGGTACGGAGCAGGCGGGCCTTCATGCCCGATGCACCGGCCATACCATTTGACGCAGGAGTATTGACTGCAAATGGTTGTGGGGGTTGTTCGGAGGGGGGAGGGGGAGGAGCGTTGCGCAGGAAATCCATCAGGCTCTCCTCCTCGCGTCTAGGCTTGGGGTTTGCTTCCTGTTCCAGAAGCTCTTCTAAAAGCGCGTCATCGTCATCGTCGTCGATGGCGTAGGGATCTGGAGCACGGCGTTGCTTCCGAACAGGCTGGGGCTCGTCGAAGTCCGTGGTACTTCCCGATGCCGTAGCCTTGTTTCTGTTTGAATCCAGCAACCCGGACCGCGAACCAAGAGATGTCAAGGATTTATTGGGCGTAGATCCATTGCCGGTGCTGACGAAAGACCTGGTGGTATTATCCAGCTGAAGGTCATCCGAATCAATGGTATTGCGGAAAGGTGCAACTGCATGAGGAATCCGGTGACCACCTCCAGGCATAGGAGGTCCCTCGCGGATGAAGTCGATGAGGTCCGAAGTCTGAGATCCTCTCGTCTCAGCAGACCGAGCTTGAAGCTTGGGTCGGTTTCCACGGGAGGTAGTGGAAAGAGTTGATGGAGGTCGAACAGGCCGCGGGCTCTCGGCAGAGAGAGAGGTCTTAGACTCGGATGGCCCACTAGCAGGGCCAGTCGATCTCATGAATTCTGCAAAATCGCGTGTCGAATCCGAGGGCTCGATTCGCGCATCCCGCGCCTGCCCCATCTTGCTAGACTTTGAAGTTGATGACATGTTGGTCAAGCGCGTAGTAAGTGGGATGTGCTTGGGTGACTCGATGGATTTGGTGCGGGACATTGGAGACATCTCTCCGGTTGTCCTTGAGGAAACCGAAGCGTGAGGGCGGTGTTTATCTTCGCCTGGTGGTGCAGTGGTATTTAGGAAATCAGCCAGTTCGGAGACGCCTGCCGTCTCTGATCGAGGAACTGATCGGTTGGGCAGGTCAGGGAAGGTCATTTCCCTCACACTTCGGGGAGTGAGGGTATAATGGATAGTTTCATCACTGTTGATCAACTTGTCCAAATCGGCAATTTCGTTGTCTACAGAGTCTACGCTCCCGCCGGATGCGCGACTTGTTTCCGACGAGCTGCGCATGCGGGGCGAACCAGATTCACCCTGTGGTCGACTCATTATACCCTTCAACTTGTTGGACACCTGCGATGTGGCGGAGCCGGCAGTCACTGGACGCGTATTCTCGCGAGCACTACCGAAGCTCCCAGACCGACGCGTTTTACTGATGATAGATGAAGACATCGATGGCCGAGGCACGCGCTGAACAGCCGCTCGTTCAACTGCCGAGGCGGATGCGGAAGAGGATCGGTTGCTGGTTGTGACCTCCAACGGAGCAGGTCTGGGGCGGGGTTTCGATTGCTGCGAATTACCTGAACCAGAAGTTGGGCGAGGGATGTCGGCAGGGAGATATTTTGATGACTTTGCCGTTTCGGTGCATTCCTCCGATAGCCTCGTCGACGGGGTGGTGGCCACGGTCATGTTATTCTGATTATCGGTCGCATCATGATTGATACAAGATGTGATAGCCTCGATGGGGGGTGCGGGTGGAGCCGGCGTGTTCTCAACCCCTTGCGTTGAAGGCTGACTCTCCGCAACGGCTTGCATTTCAGAGTCGCTAGTCTTGTCAGAGATCGACCTTGCATTCAGTAGACTGGCATCCCTGGGGGATTGGCGTTTTGGTCGGTGTATCGTCGAAGTCAATTTAGGCTTTTCACCCAACCCAGTACCCTCAAGCACTTCTGGGTCTTTCTGATTCGCCCGATCACCCAAGGATACAAGGGAGACGCGAGCACTATTGGATTGATCAGTCATAGCGTCTTCATCTTGTGCAGTAGCGCGCAAGGATGCAATCGTCTCGCCGACTGCAGGAGGCGCCTCCTCTTCTTCATGCAAGATCGACATTCTCGTATTTTCGGAAGCTTCTGCTGCAGGTTCGAATGACGGGGTCTCTTCGTGTTTTGGGGTGACAGCAATGTCAGGGGTAGTTTCGGCTGCATCCACATACTCTGCGGATTCATCATCCTCGTACATAGTCTCCAGTTGCTTCTTCTCCGATGCTGTAGGTGATGGGTGATCTGTTGGCGACTCTGGCTCCTCCTCGGAGGACTCGGGTGGGGGTGGCCCATTAGGTAGAGACCTTGTACGAACATGGCGGATTGATTTGCCAGGTTCAATAGCGGACGCACTCACGGGCGAGCTGTTTGCTGAGCCTGGAGATTTTGGCACAAGCGAGGGCGATGAAAATACCATCAGACTGCGCGGTCGCACCTTGTGAGCAACAACGGCCTCCATGGTCTGTATCTCTCCATCTAGATCGCCAATGTAGCCCGGGACCTCGATCTCTTGAACATCGTAATCGCTCATAGGCAAGGGGACAGTGGCGGGATCGAAAGGTGGGGGAATCGCTACTGGGAGAGGCTCCTTGGGAGTCACTGGTTCCTCGATTGTCACAATACTGCTCTTTCGGCTGTTTGCTAGGGAGTATCCACGTGGTCGGAATGATTCACGAGATAGTGTTCGAGAAAGAGTGGTTCCGCGTCTGCGCTGCCTCCACGTGCGCCACAGGCGACCCAAGGTTGCATTCAGGGCCAACTTCTCCATATCGAGATCTTCTACCACAAGTCGGTCGATTCTTTTTCGTTCACCTCCAGATCCACTGAACTCGTCACCACCATTATTGAGCTGTGCCGACAAACGAGACCGCGCTGTCTCGCCGGCAATGACGAGTGCACGCTCGCCAATGTATTCGATGATCGAGGTAAGGAAAATAGAAGCTGCAGGTGTAATATTGTCGACATGACTGGTAAATCTGCGTGGTGCTCCATCGGTTTCTCCAAGACTATCCTGTGCGATAAACTCGTCTTCGTCATCCTCTTCCATGTCACCCAGTCGTGTGTAGACCATGCATCGTAGACGGGTTAACTTCCATGAGCGTACCGGATCAAAATCGCCGCCGGGCTGCTGGCCGCCGCGGAATTCGGTCTGCTCATCGTCCGCTCCGCCCATATACTCGTTCAACTCTTCCTCGGCTGATGCCACAACTTCCTTAGCCAAGCGAGGCTTCAACACATCGGCCATGGCAGGTCGAATGCATGCGAGCTGTGTGGACTTTGACGAAGCGAGGATATTAAATAAGAGGTTGTCGAGGAATCCGTTCAGCAGTGATAACGCAGCCGGGGTCACCAGCGCCGTGGCGCCGGCGCCGGTTTCTTCATCCTCAGTGACAAAATCGGCGGCGTTGAACTCCTGGTCGGCAGAAATGATCTCTGAGGCTGCAGATGGCGAGATGAACGCCGGGGCTGGCGTCACGGACGGTGGAGACATGAGATTGACTCGAGAAAACTGCGAATCGCTAGAAACGACGCTGGGGCTGCGCGAACGGGACGCGGCCCCAGTATCCAGGAAGTCGGGTGCTTTGGTAGATTGCATTGTGTACCCCGGGTATATTTAGGTCGAGGGCTCGAGGACTCGAGAGCTTTGGTTGCCTCTTTTTTTGTGTTCCTTCGCAGACCTCGATTTGGACGGAAGGCGCTGGGTAGAATCGAAATTTCTAAATCATCCTGTACTCCCAGGAACGTCAGTCTGACACGATTCTGCGGGTGAAATCTGACTTGGGTGAAATTGGGGGCTTGTACGACTGCATGCGCAACCTCGCCCCGGCGGCCCCCGTGACGATGGAGGGGTGGATTTCCAACCTACCCGTTTTAATCAAAGATGCGATCAGTGCTCATACCGCATTGGCATAGGGAAAGTAAAAAGAAGCAAAAGAATAAGAGAGAATTATCCGTGAAGGCCAGGAGCGAGAGAGTCAGGAGTAATTATTCTATCCGAGTCAAGTGGATACTTGGGAACATTCGGGGTCGACTACCGAATAATTTATGGAGCAGCTGCAATTGTATACAAATCTTACAACCTTACCTGATTACACTTTTCTTTTGGGGTTGCATTGTAAAGACCCCTGTAGCTTATTTTGGTTATTCCTTTATTTTAAATGTCATAGCCTATTCACCTATAGAGATACGGAGCACGGAGTAGATCGTAGGCAGTTACT